TCACTCACTCACATCACTCACTCACATCACTCACTTCACTCACATCACTCACTTCACTCACTCACTCACTCACTCACTCATCTCATCTCATCTCATCTCATCTCATCTCATCTCACTCAACTCACTCACTCAACTCACTCACTCACTCACTCACTCACTCACTCACTCACTCACTCACTCACTCACTCACTCACTCACTCACTCACTCACTCACGCACACACACTCACTCACGCACACACACACACGCACTCACGCACACACGCACTCACGCACACACTCACTCACTCACTCACTCACTCACTCACTCACTCACTCACTCACTCACTCGCTCACTCGCTCCCTCACTCCCTCGCTCCCTCGCTCCCTCGCTCCCTCGCTCCCTCGCTCCCTCGCTCACCCGCTCACTTCACTTCACTTCACTTCACTTCACTTCACTTCACTTGACTTCACTCACTTCACTCACTCTCACATCCCTCACTCACACACACCACACTGGCATCACTCACTCACACTCTCACTCACTCACTGTACATGAACATACATACATACACACAAACTCACCCACCATCACCGCTCCATCACTCTTATACTTCCTCTTCCCTTCTTGCTCTTCTATGGTCAGTCTAAGTCTAAAGAAGTTGGTAACATGTGGGGTTATCCGGTCCTTTAATTTTATTCTGCGACGCAAGTGGCCACAGTGACCCCTCCCGCCTATCCCCGCCTAATGTGTTGGAAAATCCAGACGCTCTAGCGCCGGAGGGCTACACAGATGTTCTGAACGGGGGTGGCTACACCACACAGCTGGAATCAGTTTGTCGGGCGTGCGCTGCCACGACAACGACAAGCCACTTCGATTGACCAGGAAAAAAACATAAAAAACTATAGATTCTGCTTTTTGCCTGTGATGTTGCCCAGAAAGAGCGAAGAGGAGGTTGTATGGATGGTTCCAAGTGTTGGCTTAGCTCCCAAGATTAACCTCTCGTTTCAACTCATTTCATGGGGTCCATCCACCCTAAAGTAACATCTGAAATTGTGATGCCTCGGGCACCGCCTCAGTGACCTTCGAGCTATCTTTCTTTTGCATCCGTACCTGTTGTTAAAGTGACTAGCAGACGCCAAGGTCAGTCCAACCTTGGCAATGCCGCCAGCAACTTGGAAGAATCTCAGACAGACTCAGACAGTCTCTTTGAATCACTTTGACGTGTAAAGAGTGATCTCTCCAAAGTCCCCGACGTTGACCCGTGCAGGCACCGGCACAGTCAACTCAACCAATGACTCCACGACTATTTTGAGCACTACGAGTGCATCATCTTTGACGAGTTCATCCATGGTGATGTCCGCAGCTGGGCTTCCTCGGCAGCAATTGTTCCCTGATTCTCTGATGGCTCACATTGGCTCAGGCTCATATTCCCATTACATCAAAAGATATCACTCAAATTCAGCCATTTCCTAATCATTATCTACAGAAACTTCAGTTTCAATTTTCATTCAGTAGGATCCTTCTTCTCCCAGGGAATATGTGGTGGGTTGAACTCTGGCATTATTGGCATTGTGATAAATCGGTGGGCGAAGAGTATGGGATCTTAAGCGGCAGAGAAACGGATGCAGACAGAAACATGGCATTTTCTGGTCAATTGTATCAACCAGAAAAAGTTTCCAAATCATGTAGGCTGTACATGTATGCTTCGCAATGCAGCAATAGAATTGAATGCGTGTCAAGGCTCAATGCGGCGCCCCTGGCCTTGCTTGCAATATGGGCTTTTCTCAGGCACCTGGGATTGGCATGTCCAAAAGGGTGTGATGTGAATTGATATGATCGGAATTTTGTATTTTTTTGCAAGGTTTCCGTAGGTTCCCCATGGTTTCATTGTGTTTCCTGTGAAGTCCACGTCTCCGACGCCCAAGGCACCTTTGGCGCTAACATCTTCCCACCTCGAGATGTGAGACTTCAGAGGTCGTCGGCAACACATGCTTGACATGACCAACATGTCAACAGGGTATGGATCAATACCTATTAATACCATTTTTAGTGGGATGAACATCCATTTACCAGCTATTTTGGGGTTCACTAGGTACCAGGGTTTTGACCCATCCCCAACAAACAGCTTGACAGAAATTCTTCAGTACATACCAAGACCTGCCAGACAACTGCACCGTGTCTTGCAAAGGTGTTGTGCGGTTTACGCCTACTTCAGCGCCGATGCTCCTCTGATACCCTCTGCTTAGTGATAGGACTTTTGAAGGGTGCATTTGCAACATTTGCCTCTTCATTTCAGTCTGGCAATCTTGCCGTTCATGCTTGCTAATGTCACGCCCAGCTCGAAACTGTAGGAAGCAGTGGATGAGCAGAACAGAACCCCAATATCAACGATTATCAACGCCTGCGAGCATTCTGTTTGGAGTTCTCAAGACATGTTTGTAAGATCTTGTACGTATGGCTGAGACTCTCTCTCTCTCTGTGATCCCATCCGCTGCAGCCGGTGTCCTTTTTTGCGTTTTTTGTCCAGTGTTCAATGGGGCCGAGTGAAACTCGGGGCCATGGTGGACCGCGTCGAATCAAAAGAAAAATCGGAGCTTGGTTTAGTCACTGTGGGACTCAATGCGCACATGGCACATGCATACTGATGAGGCTTGACAGCTTGGCGCTTCCCAACTCTCAGCTGTTTTTGCATGCTTTCTTGAAACAGGAATGGTTGACTCGCTCTTACAGAGGCAATGTTCATGAAGCCGGGGATCTCAAGACTCCAATGAAGGACCCATGCCAATGAGGCAATGATGTCTTGATATCACTTGACAGCTGTGTCGTCGCCTCATAAATCATTGCCTCTCAGGCGTGGAAGTTACTCTTCAACGACGCGCTGATGGAAATTCCGCCAGGGCCCGAACGTGATTATTTGAGTTGTGCATAGTTGTGCCATGCTGCAGAATGACATGCTTCAAGATTTTCACAGTATTGTCTGTATGGTCTGCATGGCAAATGACAGTGGTTCAAGGTCTTTGGAGTTTCTTGCGTCCATGGCCAGAATCAAGCAGCAGATGTCATGCCCCCAGAGCGGTACATCGTGCTGACTGAACTTCAACAGAACTGGGCTTCTGCGTTGCTCATAGATAACTGACGATAATTGACTTTCTACGATTGTGGAGCCCAGTTCCCGTCTTTCTTGCATAAAGGGAGGAGAGGAACTAAGCCCAAGTACTTTGTCAACCCTGTGCGTTTACATACCATACTCAAGTACCAGTGATGCATACCGCCGCCACCAGCACAACCAGAACCACCAAAGCACTAAAGCACCAACACAACCAGCACAAGCGGCCCCAGCGGCCCCAGCGGCATCAGAGTCGGCATCGGCATCAGTCAGCGGCATCATTGTCAGAATCACCACCAGCACCACGGTCACCATTATGAACATCACAACCATCCTCCGGACCATCACCGATCCACGCAAACATGGTTGCACAATAGATCGCAACAGTGGGCACGGGAGGGACAAAGGTTCATGAAAATGACATAAGGAGTCATAGGAGTTCCAACGAGTAAAACCGACAGACATAGGACCTTTCAGATGCACAAGCTCCGTACAAGATATGCAGGATACATAATACATATATATATGTATATACGTATTATATTTTACATTTACAATGGCATTGCGCATGGAGTTCTATGGTTTTTGAAATCGTTCATAGCAAAACCCTACTCGATGCGCAGATGGGATCTTTCGATATCTTTCGTGGTTACATCTTTGGAACATGGTGCCAAGTTGCACCCAGCACAGCAACCGAGGAGGAGATTTAGCCCGACCATGTTTGGCACGACTCGTTCTATCAAACCCTTTCTGCAAGGCAATTCCAAGTCCATGTAGATATGTGCAGCAGTACAAACGCGCACAAACACGTACAAACACGTACAAACACGTGCAAACATGTGCAAACATGTACAGTAATTACAAACAAGTACGAACAAGTACAAACAAGAAAGAGTAAAAGAGGTAAAAGAGTGATCAAGGATCGCTCCCAATGAAACATGATGACAACGTATAGTACATTATAGTTCATATACAAACACAGTGGACTTAGAACTTTGCTGCTTTGTGAAAAGCCGGTGAGCAGTGAGGTTCCATCCCAGTGCCAGCCTCAGTTGCGCTCAGAAGCGAAACGGAAAGCAGAGAAGGGTCGCCAAAAAAAAACATATAATAAATATAAGAAAAGAACAGAAAAGACCACGTCAAAGTGCAACAGGTGCATTAGTATGGATTACTTTATGGAGAGACGAGAAGGAACATGTGTGACACAAACGCGCGCGGATGCATGGCATGGAAACAGGTTATCCAATTGACAAAGGCTGCTTGAAAAGGAGACCGAGAGCAGAGACTGTGGAATCAAGTCTGAGAATTATGAAATGCAGTAGGAGTACAATGCGCAGCACACTGCCCGGGCATTGTTTCCCATGATTAAGCACACCGCCTTGACCGAGACCACGGTATACCATCATGGTGTGAGGAGGCAGGCAAATACATTCAAAGTTCCACAAAACTTCGCAGACTTTGCAAACTCGTTTAAGACTTTAAGACTGTATCTTCTTTCGGAGGCACAGAAACTCGCTGAAGAACTAGACCCTACGAAAAGCGGTATGGCTCAAATCTCAGGTTTCAAGAGCAGTTGCGACAGTATGCGACAGTTGCACAGTCGGCACTTCATTGGTGGAGGTCAGTTTGGCCTCCGTGCTTGAGCCAGCCCAGCCTCCTCCTGAAGTCCCGAGCTGAGAGGTCTTAAAGTCTTAAAGAGACTCTTTGTATGACAACATATCTACAGGATACAGGCAGTGCCATGTAATTAGCGGTAGCGGTAGCACACAGTCCCGATGGGAACTATACAAGGTGGTATGCAGGGCTTAGTTTGCAAGAAACTAGCTAGACAAAAAACGGGCAGGTAGATGTAGTGCATATCATGATTTAGCACATCAGATATTTAATGGGAGTCCTTCGCTCCTAAGGATTATTTTTTCGGTAGCATATAAGGAATAGGTAGGGAGTCAAGAACATGCAACTAGTGTATACATACTGTAGGTAGTTGTTTTTGTTTACAATAGCTTTGCGCAGGTATTTGTGGTAACAACATGTGAGCAGCAGTTGGTTCCAGTAGTAGTACCTAGGTGATAGGTATGAGGCAGGTCCTAGTACTAAGTTACTACAATACTAGTAGCAGTAGAGTTGTGGGGCTCGGGGTTGGGTGAGGGGACGACGTACGTTGGTGAGGGGGCCAGAGGACTGGCCCACATATAATACATAGGAAAAAGATGGACAAATAGATGAAATACGAAACAGTCAAGAAGATCAAGAAGCTTTCGCTTTGGGAATGAAATGGGTCTTGGTGCAAGCTAAGTTCAGGCATCAAATCCGCCTTCAGGCATGCTACTGGAAGCTTACCATCGTCAACAATTGGGGCTCAACCAAACGGCTACAGGCAACGGAATCATTGCGTGGTGTGTTGTCATGACCACTTGATGTTTGCAACGTCCTGGGTGGCTCAGAGAATCTCAGAGATGTGTGGTGTATGAGCAACATGAAGAGCTGGAGGGTCAAAAGACCTCCTTTAAAAATCTCAAAAACATGTTTGGAAAATCACATAAGACTGCTGCAGCTTCAATTACGCCCTATATTTCCATCCAATTCGCTTCCACAGCCCAATTGCGCAGGTCATGTCGCCCCTGAGATTGACAACCCTTATCCAGGTCCTTTTTTTCGTGATTTGGAGTGGGGACAATTGAGCCATTAAAAATACCTGGTTTACTGGGGATTATGATAACCCATGGTAGGGAAACCTATCAACCAACTAGTATAATGAGATGGGATAGGGGTATTTTTAATGGTTCAATTGCATTCAAAACTTTCGCAATTGCGACTTGGATGAGATGAGAGATGCCTCCGAAAGGTTCAAACTGGCGGACTCTCTCGAATGCGAGCTTCCTTCATAGAGCACCAGGCTGCGGCAAAGTGAAAGTATTGGTTTTCCCTTGAGGTTCTTGAATAGTTCAAACTTTGTGTATCTTTGTTTGCTGTTGTCAATCTGCAGCCTTGCCATGCCTTGCCCATAGTCAATGCTGTGGCATTCTGCAAGGCAGGCAAGCTCGCAGGCCGGCCTCTGTTCTGCGGAGATCTCCAACCTGATTTTACATCGTTACATATTAAAACATATTACACCGATGTCAAAGTAGATGGCTCAACTCAAAAACCAAAATACCCATAAGATGGCACCGCGGGTTGAGAAAGAAAATGGCGCTATTTTAGCTGGAACATAAAACGAGGTCCGCCAATTGAAGAAAAAATCGCCCTACTTTAAAATGAAAAGGTAGATGGCGCAACTGCCACTCCAGTAGATGGACATAAGGGTATTGTTAACTAAGTTTACCACATTTCCTATCATTTTTGCTTGTATATACTGTGGAATTGCACAAATTTGTATTGTATAAAATGAGTTGCGCCATCTATGTCCCTTAAATCCCATTCAAACGCCAGACATTTCTTTTTCGATGGGTTAAAAAATGAGTTGCGCCATCTATGCCCCTTAAATCGCATTCAAATCTTTTATAATTTCATTGCGATACCTTGAAAATGAACCACTGAATGTTTTAAAACTGATTGTGGGCAGAATTTATGGATAGAAATCTCATTTTTCAACATATTTTGACAAACATATTTTTTAAAAAATGCAGTAAAAAGTCCCCCCATTTTTTTCTCAACATCAAGCTGCCTTTTTGGGACATAGATGGCGCAACTCCCACTCATTCGCCAAAATCAGGCTGCAAATGCCCACATAGATGGCGCACCTCCCTCATATCTCCCGACATCCATCAACCAACCTAACCAAAATATGCCACATCGATCAGAGTTATCCCAAGACAGAAGGCAAAACCACCAGGAAAGACATCAGAGTTGTCCCAGGACAGGAGGCAAAACCACCAGGAAAGACATCAGAGTTGTCCTTTTTGGGACATAGATGGCGCAACTTCCGTCATTTTGCCAGCAAAGGTCGAGACGCTTTAAAACCCAATTTTAACAAGTGACCTGAGGAACCGTTTCTTGACGGCCAAAACGGTTCCTCAGGTCACTTGTTAAAATTGGGTTTTAAAGCGTCTCGACCTTTGCTGGCTCAAAACAACTTCCGTCATTTCGCCAAAATCAGGCTGGGAATGCCCACATAGATGGCGCAACTCCGGGAGTTGCGCCATCTATGTCCCAAAAAAGCAGCTTGATGTTGAGAAAAAAATTGGGGAGAAACCAGCGCAGAAGATGGCAAAACATATGTCATTTTTTGGGACATAGATGGCTCAACTGGCCTGTTTTAAAGGGAGTTGAACCATCTATCCCCCCTTTTTTTTGACATAGATGGCTCAACTCAAGATTCAGAGCCATCTACTTTGACAGGGGAGTAAAGTTTTCTGGAATTGAGCGACAGGGGGAGGAGTCATTACAATATATATATATACAATATATATATATATTACAAAAGTAAGCAAGAACCAGTAAGCAACCTTTGAGGTAAGCAGAATCAAGTACTCAGTATATAGGTTGTCAGGAACACTGGTTGTGGCAGTGATAGCATGTGATAGCCGTATCCTTCGTGATTCGATCGTGGTCGTCCGGGTAGGCGATTCTTTGATTCGAGCGTTTGACCTGGAAACTCTGGGCCCCTTGGCCTCGTGCTCTTGAGATCTCATGGAGTCTTGAGCCGATGCGGATGATGCGGTGTCATTTCAATTCATTTTATATGTGGGTTTCCATAAATGGGTACCCCAAATGGATAGTTTATAATGGACAATCCATTCAATTCATGTCATTCATTTCTCTATATTTCTCTAGCCGACTAGCCGTTACTTGGGAAATACACGTGCCGATTTTCCATGCCGTCTGAGGTGTGGATTCAGAGGCAGTCCAACTGCGCCGATTGGCCAAGAAGTGCGCCATGGTTGTGAACTATTTACCCTCTGGTAATGTCAACATAGCTATTGAAAATGGTGATTTATAGTGGGTTTTCCCATGAAAAATGGTGATTTTCCATAGCTTTTTGTTAAATTACCAGGGGGTAACAGCTAGCTCCCAGCAATGATGCAGCTTTCGCCCTTTCTTTTCGCACAGGTTCGGCATCAGCATTTTGGACATCGAAGACATGCATCGGTTGTTTTCCAATGCTACGTCTGTCCGAGACTTGTGTCTGATTCAGAGAGTCCGGCTTTCAAAAGAGGGCAAGCACAAAGCACGCCAGAATGAACAAAGTCAATGCATGGGCTTATCAAATTTGTTTTGGCCAAGCTGAGAACAAGGATGGAAAAGTCATCGTGCAGTCAGAGTTGCCACCTCAGCAGATTACCACACAAAGTGCACTGAGAACACAACATACCGAGGAAAGGCATGCAAATGATTGCAAATGCAATTAAATGCCAATTCTAGATAATTCATATTAATTCAAGATAATTCTAGGTAATCCTTTTGTTGCTTCGAAACGTTGCTTGCTCTTGGAACCTTCTCGAACCTGGGTCCAGAAGGTCAACTTCACAACTCTCTGAAACTCTACGAACCCTGCCTTCAAACCCTTCCTTCATTTTTTTTGGAGCATTTACCTGAAATATTTACTTGGCATCACTAGGATTGAAGCGTGACTATATAGTGTTTTTGTAGCGGCAAACTAGAAAAATACAGCTGCATCTTCGAGAGCCTTCCCTTTGCTCTTTGTCGAGGGCAAAGCAAGAAATAAATCCACCATTGTCTGCAATGTGAGAACCAGGAAGAAATTCCAACGCACACTTTCTTGAAATCATTTGAAAGTGCGACAGAAATCATTGAACATCCTGAGGTTTACCAGTATGCTTCTCAAGCTCTATGGCACCGAAGACCTCAGTGAAGTACCGCAAGTCCCTGAGTAGTTTCAAGCTGAACCATGTTTGATCCTGATATGGGTATGGGTCAATACCTATAGATACATTTTTAGTGGGATGAACATCCATTTACCAGCTATCTTGATGTTCACCAGGGGTACCAGGGTTTTGACCCATCCCCATATGTCATGATATATGCGGCGAAAGTTGGGACCGGATGAGACGGGAGACTGGTGAAGTTGGTGGAGCCAGAAGAAGCCCAGGCCACAACGCCTGCGCTTCTTCTGGCAGCAGGCGGACCAGGCCCAGTGATTTGTCGAATGGTGCGGAGATGCTGACTTGGGTCATGACTTCTTTTTAAAAGTGCCAAGACCATCCAAGACCTGAATTCAGAGAATCTCTTTTCTCTTTGGTTTGCGCATACACTGTAGCTTCCGCTGTTTGGACAGGATGGGAGTGGCGAAATCGACTTCGAGGCTTCTTCCCGTGTTGACCACACTACGAAGCATCGATTCAAAAGCAACAATGAACAATGACTACATGGCAAAGCAGAGTTTTCTGGTCACAAAGCATGCATTGCTGCATAACCTTCTCTTGAAGTCCTTGCTTTCCTGACCCTTTCATACAACTTGTGACATATGTACAGGTCGATACGGTAGGTCCAAGCTGCTTCTAGCTGTCTGATAACCTGTGACATCTTGTGGCAGGAATTCATTATGTGGTACGACCGCTACAGTGAGGAGATCTTGAGTCGAAGAAAAACACGAGCCAGCCCTAAGTCCCTAACCAGCCCTGAATTCCTGGAATTCCTGGAAGCATTGCTTTGACGAGAGACCTGACCTGTGAAGCAGCCTTTATCCAATTTGTCCATCAGGGTGCTGGAAATGCAGTCCAGCTGGTCACAGCTAAGGACGGCATCGTGAATCCCCGGATGACGGCTGAAGGACATCGCTGCAAAGTTCAGCCACTGCCAACGCGTAAAATGAGTTGGGGGATGCTCTCTGGCTCGTAGCCATTTGTAGGAATCTAAAGTCCAAGCTTGAAAGATTGAAACACCATGAAACACCCCCATTTGTATCCATTTGTACAGGTAGGTTTTAGGTTTAGCAGGCACCCTGTCCTACCTTTGTCTTGCAGCAGGGAGTTTTACTTGAGAAGCAATTTGCCACTTGTCTCTCTAAAACCAGGTTTGTTTGGGGACTCTACCGCATTTTCCTAAACCGACTTGTGAAAAGCTTTCAGACCCCTTGAGACTTTAGAACGCACGTAGACATGCCTGTATAATTTGGCAACTACTTACATGATCTATTATAATCTTATGTATATATATATACATATCGCAACATAATGTAATTATGTATATATATATATAATACAATACTTATACTAATGTACTCGATAGGAACATACAGTATATATATACTTGATACTTGGCCAACAAGGAAAGCAGTCGTTTGCTTCCCCTGTCCAGCAGAGGGTCCAGAATTTACAACCCTCTCAAAATCGATGTAGTTTCACCGAGAAGTTTGCACTTCGCTCTGCAAATATTGCTGGAGCAATGTGGCCAACAATCCATGGAGCCTTTGGCTATGCGTGTTTTTCTGGTTGAAAAGCAGACGAAGAAAAGCGTGAGCAGTACTGATGAGCTGTAAATAGCTATTTGACATGGATTGTTCTCGCCTTTCTGCTTCCGATTGAAATGGCGAATGGCCGACAACAACAGGGGTTCTTCACAGCTGCGCGTGAAAACTCCTAAGCTCCTGCCTTGATCCGGTACGGAGCGTCAGGCGAACAGCTACCTGACAGCTGGTCAGGCCGCCGTCCGCTGGGAAAGGGAAGCATTTGCATCAAAGATCAACAAAGGACAAAGAAAAAACAACTACTTATAATACATATATATATATATATATACATAATTTTGTATCGTGAAGTCAAGCAAGAGCCCAACGGTCATTCCACTGCTCGGGGTGTTCGATCACATTGCCTGGCTGAGGGTGCTACTGAGGGTCGAGGCTAAGATTACACAATTACATTGTACTACGTTCATAATCTTGGACGAAGTGAAGTTTATCACAAACAAAATTCATCCAGGAGGGTGATCAGCCTGTTGGAGACGCTCATGTAGGAAGTTTCAGGGCTGCCTGCAGCAAGCGATGGCACGTGATTCAGAGATCTGGAACCCCTGGGACCTCAGGATGGCAACGTGTACTTTTCGTCGAAGACCTGCGTTTACAGGCTAAGATTTCATGATATGAAGTCAACAGTTTGCCAGACCCATCGAAACAGTAAAATGATGTAAAATGTACCCTCTGGTTATGACTAACATAGCCATGGAAAATCACCATTTTTAATAGGTAAACCATCTATAAATGGGCCATTTTCCATGGCTATGTTAAATAACCAGATGGTAAAATGATGCAAACTTCATTGAACGAGACTTTCCTTGACAAAATTGACAGGTGGAACACGGAAGACCGCACTGTTGAATGCATAGCGGGTCATCCAAAGATGGCTGGCAGGCGGATGACTCGGGATGAGTCAAAGTTGTGATCGCAGCGGACTTCACGCATTGATATTGGTAGATATTGGTAGTGAATGCATGTGAATGTGAGAATGTGATGTGGAATTCTGTCCCGGACATTCCACTGTTCGGCAAACTTAGTTATGGCAGGCGAGATGGGTTTGCATCCGATGCGCGTTTCACACACCTGAAGAGACCAGACAAAGCCTCAGTGAATACAAGAGATGCTTTTTCTAGAAGAGAATAGCGGGCACAAACATCAGAAACTCTGTCTCGCAGTGAAGCAAAGTGAAATGCAGAAGCAGTGTTGTACTGTCGGTCTGATATTGTTGCAGTCATCAAGCAGAGGTTTTGACAAAGCGCTTTGCCTATGTCCGGGAGAATGATAATAGGCACATGCTGGGAAGTACGCTATCGCATTGCTTGTCGATAGATCAGCTGCTTTGAACTTGGTAGAGCTTTTGGACCCTTCTTCCTACTCCAACGGTCTGACCAGGAACACTCATTTCTATGTCAGAGTGAACTCCCAGTCCCTGCATACGAATATGTGCAAAGCCATGCAAATCCATATACTCTGCGCGTCAGGTTCTGCCGGATCAATCTAGAGACATTTGAGGCCGATAGCATCTCATTCCCGGAATCCAATTTTGGTACAGTACTGTAACACCTGTGACCTCAAGACGTTCAACCACTTTCTCCAACCACTTTCTCCAGGTTTCCACTTTGCATTTGCGGCTACCTGGAATACAGACCGATGGTATCGAGACGTGCGACAGCCTGCAGCATACTTTGGTGCAGGTATTATGCTGAGGACTCGCGTCAGCGAGGACATAAAAAACCTTGGTGTTGCCAACTCTACAGAGCACAATGTAGAGAGTTTGTAAATGTTCGCAACCAGGTACGGAGTTACACCAGATGGCCGGATGATGTTCCTCATCTACACCGCTCTTTCCTTACACAATCCATGACCTGGCAGACCTGGCATTTGATGATTTGAATGACGCCACACGGTTCCTTTAGAAACTTTAGTCTTAAGGTCCCCTTCCGAATTTTTACTGCGGAGACAACAGATGCTCTAGAGTCAACGAACCTCGGCTGCAATCCGGTCAAGATCGCAACGAAGCAATGTCCTATGGTAATCTGAGATCATGCAGCGACTGGATCAAAGTAGATCAGAGTTTTTTCCTGTGCGTTGGGCAGGTTTTGCTCAGACATGCGAAGGGTTGACTGGACTGTTGGACCCTCAGCTCCTGACAGCTTCGAACTTGAAGTCTATACACGTGATGAAGCGTGGTTTTTGCTTGTCTTTTGACTAGACAATTATTTTTTTGCTGCGTCTGACAATGTATCAAGTTTGCATTCAGGCAACCAGCGGTGCAAGAGTAGATGTTGAGTTTGTGGCAGGTGCCCTCTCTTGCGGGAATGATTTTGCTGCACATTGGCAATGATTGATTCCATTTGTTTCCGACAGCTTATCGACGCTTTCTATAATTTTATACATACTGAAAAAGTCAAGAGATCAACGTGCCGCAACGTGCCAGAAATAGACCAACCAATTGCCAGGGCGTGATCGACGGGTTTTCAGGGCAGACGGCCGAATACTTGAGGCACGGTGGAATCTGAACTTGGAGACAAAGTGAGCTGATATGGAAGAACTGCCATTCATACTCATTCATAACGAACATAACTACTCTTAACTACTCATATTCACTGCATATTCATTATCAACTGCCAGACATTGTCCCTTTCATCAAATTAGGGATGAAGAGCCCAACGTTTGATAAACGATACCACTTGACTTCTGAGGCCAGAAGTGCGTGTGGAGCTTGATTCGGCACTGCGAGCCGATCCATGAATCACAGGTGAAGACTCGGTGAAGATTGCTGGTGAATTTGGTTGTGACTAAGGATGCTTAAGGTGAGACAGATGCATCTTGAGATAGCTAGAAAAAACATGTTGACAACTTGAGTAGGTCCTGGATCATAGAAGAGAATGTGTCAGCTTTGAGGTTCTTCCGATCCATGCTTGTTGGTGGGATGCGAGAAGTTCTGGACTCAGAACTGTGTTCCGCAAGAAAACCCTTGATGCCACTCGATGTCACCTTTCTTTCAGCTTCTGCAGCCAAGACCAGCCTGCCAGCGACTAACTAAGGCACTGACTGAAAGCCCCATTGAACTTGGCGAGGATGTCAATGGAGATGTGTCTTGATTGCAATCTCCAGGTCCCTTCTCATCCTTGCCAGGGAAGTGAACACTTTAATCACTTTACGAGTCTCAAAGGGACATTCTGTCCCAAGCTCTCTAAAGCCTGATTTACTTGTGTAGAATGGGGACGACTGGGATGGCTAGTGCATTTCGAATATTTCGAACGGCACACAGCTGTGGAGAACACCATTTCCAACTTAGCAAAATGCCAAAGCTTCATCCCAGAACATCATTTAGCCAGCTGCACATGATTTAATCAAAAGGAAGGGCGCAAAAACATGCAAAAACACCATTTCCTTCACAGCTCCCTGGTCTTGGAAGAATCACAGAGTAGTCTTGAAGATATGCATAATCCAATTTGTGGCATTAATTGATTGAAATTTGTTACATTAATCACAGCTCCTGATTGGATTAATGTAACAAAATCAAACACAGCCAGCAAGGCATTGGAAGCTCTGCTCCATTTTCTCCACACTGATCAGTCTGAAGCCAAGAGCTGCAAGTAGGTCATCCATGAACTTACGGCTGCATGCAGATTTCATGGAATTATGGAAGACTCGAGGCACAACTGGCTGTTTGAATTGTTGAAAGTCCGGAGCCACGCAGTGACAGGTTTGAACCAGTTTCACCTCCTGAAAAGGCTTGGCACAGCGGAGCACACAGCTCAACGTATTACACATTGCTGCCCGATGTAGGCCTAAGCCCTTGTTGCATTCCAAATATAAAATAACCGAACAAGTACCAGAACATGCCACCTGATTTTGACCTCGCGATTTGAGATAGTTTAAACGTGTTGAATTTGACCCGGGGAGCCAAATGTAATTACTTGACGTACCTTAGCTGACGAGTGCTGACTGAAAGTGATTATTGCTGAAAGAGCAAATGAGGAATTTCCACACGTCAGGGGTTGCCATGCTGCTAGTGCGTGAACCGTGAACCCTCTACAAGAAAAGATGCTAGCGGCTAGCGTGCAATCTATTGTCACATTATGCGGGGGAAGAGGTTGGAACCAGTCTGACTGTGCTCTGCAATCACTCGCTGCCTGCAGGTGACTCGCATGGTGGACGAGGAAGTCTTGAAGTTGGCTTTCAGCTCAGGGTGGCACATTTCTGGCACATCAAGATACTTTGAGCAGGATTGAAAGATACTGAAAGCAAGACTGCTCGAAATTGTCAACTATTGACGTCAAGACAGGTTGGTTTTCTTCAATGGGAAAGACACATCTAGATCTCCCTTTCTCATTTTCAAAGTATTTTTGAGGTGCCTCTTCTGGTTTCACGGCCACAGTGTTGGATTCCAGAATATAATACAATACAATACAATATAATTTCATACGTTGCTCACAGGCTCTGCTTTCAAACAGGTCTTACTTGTTATGCTATCCTTGCCATCCCTGGGCGCCGCAAATCTGAGGCCAAATTCACCATAGATGTGGCTCCCCTGCGCCATGCATCCTGATAAGTCTCGATATGTTGCTGGTAGACAGCTTCAAGGATTCCCACACAGACACACACACAGAGATATGATATTTATATATATAGCACAGCCTGTGTCATCCACTCACACCCAAGCCGACCTGACTTTCTTGGCAATGTTTCATGTGACTCTTTGAGACTAGTGGATGTGTGAACTCTGAAGTGGCAGGAGCAATGTGAGGTGAGAATGAAAGTCAATAACAAGTGTCTCAAGTCCAGATTTGCTTGCTGTTTATTCCTCAGCCATTGCGGTACATGAGAAATTTTGCAAGTCTGCAGGATGTGGCAATCTGCATCGCACAAGTTTAAGGAGCTTGGCATTGAATAGAATAGAAACTGCACATAAGAGGGCGTCCTGCCTATCGAGCCCAAGATTTAATGATAGTCAGTATTGAGCACATTATTCAGTATCACAGTTCTTGAGGAGTTTTTTTTCGTGGACACCTAAATGCTCAAGAAGCAAGAACATGCATAGAGATCATCATCCATAGCACAGCCATATGATGGGCCGCTTGGCTGAGCCGCGCGTTGCCGCAAGTAACCGCGAGGCCCAGGAGATGAAGCAGTGTTGAGTGTAGAGGGTAGAGTGCAGATGACCAAAGTCGTGTACATACTGTACATATTTATACATATATATATAATACACATATAATACATATATAATACATATATAATACATATATAATACATATATAATACATATATATAATACATATATAATACATATACAATACGTATATAAATATATATAAGACACATTTAATACATATAGAATACATATATAATACATATATAATACAAATACAATATGTATATATATAATACATATATAATACATATATAATACATATATAATACATATGTAATACATATAATACATATGTAATACATATAAAATACATATATAATACATATATATATAATGCATATATAATACATATATATATAATACATATATAATATATATACATATATAATACATGTATAATACATATATACATATATAATACATATATAATACATATATAATACATATATAATACATATATAATAAATATATAATACATTTATAATACATGTATAATACATATATAATACATATATCATACATATATAATACATATATAATACATAATATATATATATAATATAAATATATATATACACATTACATATATAATACACATATAATACATATATAATACATATATAATACATATATAATACATATATAATACATATATAATACATATATAATACATATATAATGCATATATAATACATATATTATACATACATATATTATACATATATATATATGTATCTATATATATAAGCAGTATTAAACAGTTGCTCGTATGCATGTACAGTTTTGTCAAGCAGCGTAAAACAATGACTTGAAAAGTTGTCAAATGTGAGATATTGCCATTGCAAGAAAACTGGTGCAGAGACGCAGACGGGCCAGCAGAATACGGAAGCAATGCACCTCTAGCATCTTGAACAAGCCCAGTCGTGCGCAAGTTTGGGGTAGATTCGCCTCACAAATGCAGTGCCCAGAAATGTGTGCACTGTGCAGGTTTGAAACATGGAGCCATCTGGGCCTGGAACAAAGTTTCAGTTTGCAAAAAAGGATTTTCTTATCTTTTCTTTGTGTCTTGATTCAAATAAGTTAAGAAAATCACAGTCGAAACTGAGGGCTGTATCAAAGGCAGCACCAGCCTTTGCAAAGGCGCAACACCATGCTGCAGAGTTTAGCCACAGAGAACTACTGGGAACAGCGGCGAATTGGGAAACTCTCCGCTTTCGGCGAGGTCATTCCAGCCCATGGTCCTCTAGCACCTGGCGGAGGCCCAAATGCTGCGCACTGGCAGCACGCACGGGTTGATTGGCTTTTGTTCTGCAGGGCTGCTGTTCCCTCTGAATGATGCAATGGCCAACACCTCAGAGAGCTTGACCCAAACAGACCCAACAGTCCTGCATTCTTAATTAAAAATACTTGACAGAGCATTGGTGTCAATTGGAAACCGATCACCAATTAGTAAATAGCACGCTTTTGTCACATCTCTGAAGTGTATAGTGACTATTAGTGTAGTTGCAGTAGTGCAACAGATTCCAGATTTTGAATCGAGAATTCTGTACCAATTAGGTAACCAATCAGGTAACCAATGACTCTTGAGAGTCTTAGTTTGAACATGTTTGAACTCTATCCTTTTATCTTCGAGCCGATCGCTTCGTTTTGTGCTGAGGTGAAAGCTGCCATGTTGGTGGCTGAGATTGAAGTCCAACATGCCGGTTCACAAGCAAAATTGTAGATATGATTGATATTATCCATAGATAAGATAGTATATATAGTATGGTTGTAGATACATCGGATATCAGAACTCAATTATGTAAAAAAATGGTAGACTTGTTGTGACTTGTTTTCAAGACACTTTTGAGGCCTTAATGACTGTTTGCATCATTTTGTACCCTCTGGTAATTTAACATAGCTATTGAAAATGGCCCATTTATAGTTGATTTACCTATTAAAAATGGTGATTTTCCATAGTTTTTTGTATGTTTACCAGGCCGGGTATCTTGTTTTGTATCCCGTTTTGTAACCGACTGCCGAGGCCTTTAGCTCCATCCGCTCCTCCAGCACCTGCATTCTTCGGCCCCTTGGGCGGGTGTGGGCCACAGCATGGAACAACTGTTGTGACATGTGGTGACACGGTCCCAAACAAACAAAACAAAGGGCTGTTGAAAAGTGGAAAAAGTGGAACCAAACAAATAGCTGTTGTGAACAGTACCAGCAGATGTCGTTTAAAGATGTTTAAAGCTTTTGCCCTTGGGGGCTTTTCAGCGTTTTGTTTGGCCTCAGCTCTGATTGGCAAATCTTTCTCCCAGGAGCTTGAGCAAATTACCTGGTGGAGGCGTCTTGAGCACTTGAGGACATCATGCCGAGCCAAATGCCGAATGAATCCCGATGAATCCAAATGCCCAGCCAAATGTCTTGCTGTGGCTGTGCTAGGTTCCTTTGCACCAATGCCAGCCTGGCTCACAGCTGGGGCACATGTTGAGCAGCTGCAGTGCCGCCTTCGTTGATCCCATCTCTTCTTTTTGATCACCTGTTGGCACATCTTTTAATCCTTGGACATGTGACCTCATTTTTGGGAATCTAGGATGCCACAAGAAATGTGTGTGTGTGTGTGAATATGTATATATATATATAATTATATATATATACATATATTGTATATAAGTTTGAGATAGGTTGTGATCGATTGTGATAGTGCATGTATTTGAGCGGCGAGCGTCGTGTGCAGTGATTGGTCTCAGGATATGGCACCGCCAGGGCCACCTGGCCTGCCAGCTTCTCGGGTGGATAGCTTGATTCCGACTGTATATCTGTATATATGTATATATGTATCTGTATATTCATCATCATCATCATCATCATCATCCTCATCCTCATCCTCATCCTCATCGTCATCATCGTTATCATCGTTATTATTACAAGTATCACATTATATATACACGCACACACACACACAGACACATTTGCTTAACGTAGCTGTTAACGCAGATAACATTTCAGTCCAAAGAACAAATGCTTTGCAACATGAATGTGCGTTGGAGCCGGGAGAAGATTCACAGCAATGCGCTTGATTTGACTTACTTGACTCACCTGAAGCTTGACTTGTCTTGAGAAAAAACTTGTCTGGATTAGGCCATTCGGAATTGACGGTGTAGATCCACCTGGGCCGCCTCCAGGCACACTGCCATCGGTACTTCAGCTGGAGTTGTTTGCTGGCTTCAAACTCTTCAAGTTTCAAGTTCGCTAGATGATGCCAAGTAGAGAAGCAACCTACTTTCTTGGTTTGTAGTTTTTGTTTCCTGTCAATTCTATCATATTGGCAGCCTTTGGAAGCTTCAAGACATTCTCACAGGATTGCCACCAGGCTTTCCTCCACTTGGGTCCCGGACTCAAGAAGTCATGTTGAGAGAGCCTTCAATAAAACGCTGGGCGGCTGCAATCCTTTGTTGCAGGATGCCCTTTATGGAAGCTATGCCACCGCAGCGATCCCAGAACAATGGAAGGTTAAAGTGACGCGGGACTCAGGGTGACGAAGCATAGGAATGCTCCGTTCGATTGTGATTTTATGAAGGCCTGGCTTTCCACCAGGAATGGGCCCGCCTGTCAGCAACTCAGTGCCACCAAGTTGGGTTCCCAATTTTCATTTCATGAGGAACGAGGAACAAACAACACTTTCACCTTTTCTTTTGCGCGTGAAGTTCGTAGAACTTGCACATTTCTTTTTCTGTGGAGCGGTGGTTTCCACTTGCAGTGGCTTTCTGCCGCTTGTCCCACAACTCATGCAGCAACAGGCCACATCAGAGCATTTGCCTGAAGGCGCGACTGCATTTGATCTGCTAGTGAGAAGTGAGGTGAAGACATGAAACACTGGTCACTGGCTTCGAATATGAGAATCCTGCTGAAACCCTTGGATGGTAGTTGCACAGATATGCACAGATAAGGCTTCACCAATGTGGTGTTTTTTGCTTTTCAATAAATGATTTAAAGCCATTTCAAGCTGTCATGGATTTGCTGGCAGGTGCACCAAAGGTCTGCCTCTCAGCTACATCTGCGGGAGAGGCAAAACCTGAGTGGCTGAAGAGACAGGGCACTCTTTCTACCTCAAGCTGTTTCGTCACTCAAACAACTTAATGGTGATGCAAGGGTGACTTGTTGACGATTTAAGTGATATGATCTGGCACATTATTTGAACCACAAATTATAAGATGCAGCTGTACAGCTTCCCGTATTGGTATCTTCTGTGGATAAATCTGTGCGACAAGACACGACAAACAGAGAAGCAGCTGCACCTGCACTCGCGCACACACACACACACTGCACCAAATTGTAGTGAGAGCAGATGGCGTACCCACAACCTTCGCTGCCTCGCCGTTCCTCGACAGCATTGTTCCAGAGTGGAAGTCACAAGAATTGTGACCTGTTACTGTCAGTGTTACAAAGCATCAGCAATCCCCGTCACAGCCATGGAGCGAAGACCACTGGTTCTGAAAAAGTCTTCAGCAAGCAGTTGCATGCAGTTCCAAGGTAGTTCTTGGCCTTGGCCGTTCTTCGCTTTTGCTGCCTTAGCATTCAGCAGTGCCTTCGTTGACACAAGCTTTCCACGAAGTGGCTCAAGGAGGACTTGATAGTGAGATATAGAGAGGTTCTTTCGCGACAACCGATTGAGCCGCAGACACATGAACGGTTGAGCCACACTATGTGATAAGATGCAATTAGCAATTTCACAATATTACGCACGTTAAGACTTGCGCCTTTCAGCGTGCTTCCAGACGATTCAACGGAAAGGAAAGATCCAGAGCAACATAGCGTTCCCCTGCAGGAGAAGCATTGTCAAAGCTGAATCAGAAAACAGACCTCCTTGGGATGGCTTTCGTGCCTTGAGAACAGACTTCTGGCTAGAATTCAGGATTTTGAAGCGTTCATAAGCTTTCTAAATTTGCAACATGTGACTCGAGATGGATCCCAACTGTAAAGTGTCAGGCCATGAATCAATCCTCCCGTTCAACCCAAGCAGCTGAGGCTGCATTCTTCGGAGCATTGCCCAATCCGCTGAACGCTTTCAGTCCAAATCCTGGCTCAAAACAGATCAAAGCCGGTGAAACTTTGTGGTCTGCCCAAAATCCAAAGAGTTTGGTCTGGGGACCTTTGGACGACGTGGTCATGGGAGGTGCCTCGGAGTCGTTCTTGAAAGGCACAACTTGGAAAGGGACCATCGTGACAGAGGGTGGAGGGTTTGCAGGCATTCGAACCCAACCCATCAAGCCAGCCTTTGACGTCAGTTCGTGTGCAGGCTTAAAAGTCCGTGTAAAGGGTGGAGATGGTCAGAGGTTCAAGCTCATCATTCGAGACTCTTACGACTGGAATGGAATTGCATGGAGCTATGAGTTTGATACTCAAACGCTTTTGCCTTCCATGGATGGGATCGTGGAGGCCTCTGCACCTTTTACAGAATTTGTGCCAACTCTCTTTGCGCGGCGAGTACCTAATCGACACTTCGACAAATTCCAACTAACAGCGATTCAGATAACGCTGAGCAAGTTTGGCTACGACGGTGCTCTGAATCCAAACTTTAAGGCCGGCAGCTTCGAGCTTGAGGTCGTGTCGATTGAGACGTATTGAGACGTATTGAGACGTATTGAGACATGTCGCCGGACGTTTGAAATAGGTAAAGTGAAAAGGAATTTACAGATGAGAATCGATGAGATATCTCTTTTGATTGTAAGATATTGTAAGCATGCTGCGCATAGCATGCCACGGCGAAACTAGAACAGCAGAATGAACTGCTCGACTTTGGGAATTTTCAGATATGGCGCTGTACAGAGCCAAGGGGTGCACCGTTCCTCGCTTAGCCGGAGTCCACACTCAGAGACCCGCGTCGAGCAAGCGTCGAGCAACAGAAAAAAGATTGACATGCGTGATGATCAGGGGACGGCAAGCAGACAGGATGGCACTTTTTTGTTCCAAAGTGACTGTTTGTGCAATCATGCGATAGCGTGGGATATGTTGGCATCGGCTGAAAAATCCCGACCGCAGACATCCTGTGACACTTAGGACGCCTCATTTGGGTGTGGGCCTTTTTCGGGATGGTCAGGGTTCACTCCGGCGCGACACTGCTTAGCATCGTGCGGCTTCTCTTGTGACATGTGGAGGCTGTAGAGGTACGGGGGGGGGTGATGAGGCCAGACGTGGTGCCAAAGGCGCGACTGTGGTGACATGGATTCCTGGCCGCTGGCCTGTGGAACGAAATTGAATCAATTTGATTCAAATTGAAGCATTAAACATCATTAAACTATCTGAAACATTCTGAAACTATCCCTTGGGAAGTCATTTATGGATATTTATGGACGTTTGACCCTGCAACAGCATTCTGCTTGGGTTTCTTGCCATTTCTTGCTGTGGTGTGCCTGGTGTGCTCGAGGCTCCACCAGGTTCACCTCCGCGAGAGGAAAAGCCTGAGATCAAGAAGAGAAAGAAAGGCGTTGAAGGATTGGTTCTTGCCTTGGCAATCCTAGAGATACGATGTGACTAGACTGATGACTCACCGCTGACTGGCTGATGTCTCACTTGCACAAAGAGTGCGATCAAGCAAGGTTTTGCAGTGCAGTACTCTGAGGCTTCCAACAAGGCCATCAAGAACGGTGGTGCGGTCACGATCTATTCAGGTCCGGCCGATGGCCGCGATGGCCGCGATGGCCGGGTCTGCCAGAATGATTCTGCCATCTCCAAAGTGCACTTTTTCGTGAGGCTATGACGCACTTACTGTAGAGCCCAAGGCAGGAGACGAGACAACATCCACTGAATTCGACAGAGCTCAATCGAAGTTCTCGGACTTTTTGGTGATCGTATAGAGGTTATAGAGGATAGACATGGAATGAAATCGATATATAGAATATGATAGAATTGAAAGCAGCGCCAGCGGCCACTTGTGTGCTTTTAAAGTAGTTGATGATAGTTGATGCGCTTTGGAAGCTTGGCTGCTGTTGTCCAACACTTTGTGGCTTTTCTGTTTGTGCTTTGCAAGGTCGCTGAGACTTCTGAAAAGTCAAGAGCCTGGTTAGCTCTCTCTGCACGAACTCAATGTGAATTCCAAGCAATCCTTTCTCTTGCTTTGTGCAAGATTTGCCTCGACAATATCAGAGTTCAGCCACTCTCCTGGCGATTGTTTGATCAGAACATAGATTTTCTAAGGCCTCCCGCATCAGCTCAGACACAGATCACTGGGCAGAGTGTGATACAGGTCGCGGTAGGGGCTTGGAGATCACGAAAAAACGTGAAGTGATGTGAAGTGTCAAGACTCGTCAAATCTACAAAGATCACAGCCGCTATCAGGCGCTATCAAATGCTGCAGTATGTTCTCGAATGATTTCGAATACATTCGAATGTTATAACAAGTTGTGATAGCACGTTGCCTTCTTTGCATTTGGAGATTTTGGAGTGTTGAGTCTGCTTCACCGACATTATCCCAGTAATTCCATGTAATTCCCAGAGGTGTTGAGGTGTTTCTTCTGGTGCTGCCAGCCTCGTGGCCCTCTAGGGCCTGCAACGACAACTTCCAGCGGGTTGGGAGATGCGAAAGTCCAGGTGGGATCTATTGGATCCATTGGCTGGGCATCTTCGTGCCATTTAATGGACCATTTAATGGACCATTTAATGGACCATTTTGGGCCATTGGCTTGGATATGCTTGGATGGTCAAAGAAAAGTCAAAGAAAATGTGGCAGTGTGTCAAAACCCATGGAAACCCCTTTTTTGTTCACCTCAAAATAGCTGGGATTTATGGATGTTCATGCCCCTAAAAATGGTATTAATAGGATTAATAGGTATTGACCCATACCCATGTAACAAAAACAATTTTGACTGGCAATCACTGGCCAGGAGCACCGGCAAGGTCTACTACGACGGCAGCTCAGAATTTGGAAGCTGGTTTTTCTCTCACGTGCGTTTTCAGCTGTCTGCACTGGCGTAAGCTGAAGTGCAATATATGCAATATGCCAAAAACTGATCTTCAAAGCCGGTTAGCCTGAATATCCCAGGTCAATGAGAAGCTGGGCAAATCCCAATTTGAACCACCAGCGGGCTCAACAGTCGACAAACAGGCGCCTTAATAATTTGCGAGTATCACAGACTTGCCACTTCCCACAGAGGATCAGGCAAATATTTTGTACCGCAGAAAAACTTCACAATGTTTGCATTAGATAGGAACGGACAAAGGCTTGACAAAATGGTCTGTCCTTCCTTTCCGAGTCAGGTTGACAAGAAGAAGAAAGCCTCAACAAAAAGTAAGGCCGCCTTTCGATGCTTTCTGCGTTTGTTGCCTTGAACATTGTTTTCGACCTGCTGATATCCGCCATTGAAGTTATTTGCATCAGTCATGCTTCATTGTGATGAACAAACCACCAGTTTCAGTTTCTCAGCAAACGAAATCGTGAATAGACTTGAGAAATCTTGAAATAAGCGTTGTTGTCCAAGTGGAGACCCTGCAACACTTTTATGCAATGACATTGCAGTTCTTTCAGGTTCTAACTCGTATTAGCTCTGAAATCTAGACTCACGATAGCGCAATTTAATGCAATTTATACAAACTAGATCTTGTAAGACATTTGGTAGGCACAGTGTCAAGTACAATTCTTAAGTGAATCCAGAACGATCAGAACGTGCAGTTTGGAATCCACTTGCCAAGTCAGGGCATGATATTTAAGATATGATATGCCAACGACTACACTCTTGCACCTCCCCAACAACGCGCCTTCTGCTGATGGGATGGACGTGGTGAAGATTTTGGAACCATCCGTCAAGGACCTCACCTCCAAGGATAGTGCAAAAAGGAGTGATGCCGCCAATAAGGTGGCGGCCTTGATGACTGAACATCACCTCTATCCCATTTCCTTTGCCAAAATGGATGGGATCAAAGCTTTGGTGAAATTGTTGGGCAACACTTCTGCCACAAGTTGTGACAGGGCAAATGCCTGTATGGCACTTGGGCATGTTGCCAAACACAATGCCAAGCTCCAGGAGATTGTTGGTTCTGCAAGCCTTCAGGTTATAGTGAAATTGTTGAGAAGCAAAAAGGCCACGGCGATCGAGCGAAATCAAGCCTCCTATGCTTTGGCGCAATTGGCCAACCGAAACCAGCGGCATCAAATGGCCTTGCTGAAGCTGGGCGTGTTTCCTGATTTGGTGCAGCAACTCTCAGGTTCCACCGATGGCGACTTTGGCTCTGCGGCCTATGCCCTTGCCACCATTGCTGACGGGATCGAGAAGCATCAAACAGCAATACGATTAGAAGGTGCCATTGGGCCTTTGGTGCAGCACTTGAGCTCATCTTTTTGTCCGGAGGATCGAATTGATGCT